TTGATCTGTTGCCGGGATTCTGCAGTTGCTATTGGTAACACCACATTTATAGTAATTGATCTATTGTGGTAACTCTACAGTTGCTATGGTAACACAACAAACTATAGTGATTGATCTGTTGTGGTGATTCTACAGTTGCTATGGTAACACAACAACTATAGTAATTGATCTGTTGTATTGATTCTACAGTTGCTATGGTAACACAACAACTATAGTAATTGATCTGTTGTATTGATTCTACAGTTACTATGGTAACACAACAACTATAGTAATTGATCTATTGTGGTGATTCTACAGTTACTATGGTAACACAACAACTATAGTAATTGATCTGTTGCCGGGATTCTGCAGTTGCTATGGTAACACCACATTTATAGTAATTGATCTATTGTGGTGACTCTACAGTTGCTATGGTAACACAACAAACTATAGTGATTGATCTGTTGTAATGATTCTACAGTTGCTATGGTAACACATCATTAGTAATTGATCTGTTCCGGTGATTCTACAGTTGCTAAGGTAACACAACAACTAAAGTAACACAACAAATGTAGCAATATAAACAAAGTTTATAAGTGTATTTGGTTTGAGTGTGTGGTTCAGCAGAGCAGTATCAACATGAGTGTGGGAGTTATTTAGGTTTACATTAACATCATGCTTGATGATTGACTTTTCTGTTCAGGATGCTTTATTGTCATAACATTCACCTTTATTGATCTCCTTTTCCTTCTCTTTGCAGTGAATTTCGATCACTTTCAAATCCTGCGAGCCATTGGGAAAGGCAGCTTTGGGAAGGTAAGAGGATTCATTCACATCTGCCATATGCAAACACCACAAAGATGAATAAATGACACTAAAATCCCGTTCCTCATCAGTGTTTCTGTTTACTTTACACTACAGAGCACGTATTCCAACAAAATATCATAATGCTAAAGTAGATCATAACCTGCAGATCTAGATGAAAACCAAATAATGACTGCGTCAGTCCTAAATTTACGACTCTTAAATATTTGATCCAGGAGCATTTCACTCAGTGCTAAAACTACACTGTAAAGTCAGGGTTAGCTTATTTGAGGAAACTGATTGCAACAAACCATTTAAGATAAAAACTAATCCTAATGAGTACTGGGAACTAAAAATGAACTGGGAAGTAAATGAAGCAATTTGAGCACAGTAAAACCCAATAAATGAGGAGAACTTAAACCAACTGAGTACTTTAAAACCCAATGAATTAAGACAACTCAAACCGTTTGAGGAAGCCGATTGCCACAAACCATTTGAGTTAAACTAATCTAAAAGTACTGTGAACTCAATCCATTTAAGCTGAAGTAATGAGGTATTTTATTATCTCAGCACTGAGTTAATAACTCGTGACAAATAAGTAGAATTAACTTTCAGTCTTGTTCAGCACATGTTTTACACAGCAGATGTCCTTCCAGCTGCAACCTAGTACTGGGAAACACCCATACACACTCAAATCACACTCATACACTACGACCAGTGTAGTTGATCAGTTCCTGTGGGGGAAACCAGAGCACCCAGAGGAAACCCACACCAACACGGGGAGAACATGCAAACTCCACACAGAAACACCAACTGACCCAGCCCAGCGACCTTCTTGCTGTGAGGCAATTGTGCTACCCACTGCACCACTGCGCTGCCCCACACTGAAATATATTTATTTAAGTATTGTAGGGTGTCATGTGAAAATGTGATTTACAGGAGGGCAAATAATTTAGCCCTTGAATGATGTGTTTAATCAGAGTTTTCCCCTTAATTACTTAAGCATCTATAACATTGATTATTTTGAGCTATAATTTTGAGCATTATAAACTGTAGATGATGGATAATAAAGCCCCAGATAATAATAAAGATACATGACCTGTGAATGTAGTCTAAAATATTCAGCAACTGTTTGGGAAGGGCATTTTTGAGAAAGTGCCTCAGACGGTGAGGGAGAGAAGGACCCTGATAGAGTCTCATTTTGCATGCTATCTTCACCAAATTTGAAATAAAAACTCATGAGACACTTGGCTTTCAAGTTTTTTTATTTTACATTACATTAATGTTTTTCTGTGTTTGTATATGGATAAACAAATATTGAACACAAAACAGTTTTCTCTCTCATGACTTCATAATGCATAACTTTTGATATTTTTTAACATGTAACTTCCCCTTTCACCACGGTAAAGCTCAAAGTGTCTTCTTTACAATGAAAGCTGATTTGTGTTTGTAGCTTACTGGAGTCAGGAACTGGTACTATTTAAAGTTAGGTAGGTGTAAATCCCCAAAATTGAGCGCAAGACAAATGTGCAGAGTAAAACACGAGGAGAGTGCTGATTTAATGCCTGTATCAGAGCTCAATCTGCATCTTCTTCAGTGGAGTTTTAGAGATAGATGAATAAATGGAGCTGTGGACGAGCCTCCTGTGACTACAATCAGACTCTGGGTAATTCAGACTCTAATTACCCTGCGCTCTCGTTATCTGAAACCGGCCCGCGCTCAGATTTACCGCTTAAATAGGCCTTAAGTAATTACAATTCAATTTTTCCATTAATCTGGAGCACAGTGGTTAATTAATTAAAGACGTGTGCCTGTGTGTGTGTGCGTGTGTGTGTGCGTGTGTGTGTGTGTCGTGGGAGATCTATCCTGCGAGTGACCAGAGGCGGATCACTCTGAGATTTACTCACAGACACTTGATGATCAGAGAACTGCGGTCACATTAGAGTTTGAGCATGAGAAAAGATGTTGTGCGATGCTGTGAAAAGAGGCAGGATAAACCAAGCGATTAGCCATGGAGCGATTGCTGCATCTTTTACATTTCTGTACAGAGACGTCACGCTTTATTACACAGCTCCACTTTATTAAAGTCGCAATCAAATGAAAATGGAGCTTTCTTATTTGTGTATAGCACTTGCCATACATGATGTAGTTCTACTAGTACTACTACCGACAAAGACTACTACAACTACTATTACTATGACTACTACTACGACGACAACTACTATTAATACTACTATGTCAAGAACAACTACTACTCGCTATAATCTTCTATGTGAAGTTACTGACAAAACCTACATTGTAAAAGCGCAATAAAAGATAAACTGAATTAAATACTAATATGATGACTACAACAACAACTACTACTACTACTACTACATCGACAAAGACTACTACCACTACTATAGCAACAACTACTACTATGACTACTACTACTACTAACAACATCGACAAAGACTACTACCACTACTATAGCAACAACTACTACTACTATGACTACTACTACTACTATGATGACTACTAACTATGACGGTGACTACTACTATTACTAGGATGACAACTACTACCACTACAATGAAGACTACTACTATAACGACTTCTACCACTTCTACTACTACTACTACTACTATGATGACTACAATTAAGACTACTATGTCGATGACTACTACTGCTCGCTATAATCGTCTATGTGAAGTTACTTTGACACAATCTACATTGTAAAAGCGCTATAAAAATAAAGATGAATTGAATACTAAGATGATGACTACTACGACGACTACTACTATGACGACGACAACTACTACAACGATGATGACTACTATGACGATGACTACTACTACAACAACAACTACTACTACTACGTACTACTACTGCACTTCATTATTTTGGATAAATTAATTTGCTCTCATAACCTTCAATCAAATTCACCACTGGTCACATGCAATGCCTTTAGGGTGGGGCTATGAGCCATTTAAGTCGGGGTTATTGGTCATTCAGGGCGGAGCTATCAGTCCTTTGGGCCAAATCTATCAGTTACTTAGGGTGTGGCTTTCAGTCATTTAGGGTGGAGCTATCAGTCCATTAGGGTGGGGCCATCATTCATGTGGGGCGGGGCTATCATTACCTTCAGGCAGGGCTATCAGTCCTTTTAGGGCGGGGCTATCAGTGCTTTATGGTGAGTCTTTCAGTGCTTTAGGGCAGGGCTATCAGTTCTTTAGGGTGGAGCTATCAGTCCTTTGGGGGAGGGCTATCAGTCTTTTAGGGTGGGGCTATAAGTCCTTTAGGTCGGGGCTATCAGTTCTTTAGGGCCAAGATATTAGTCCTTTAGGGCGGGGTTATAAGTTATTTAGGGTGGAGCTATCAGTCCATTAGGGTGGGGCCATCATTCATGTAGGGCGTGGCTATCATTACCTTAAGGCAGGGCTATCAGTCCTTTTAGGGCGGGGCTATAACTTATTTAGAGTGGGCTGTCAGTCCTTAAGGGGAAGGCTATCAGTCTTTTAGGGCCAGGATGTCAGTCCTTTAGGGCGGGGCTATCAGTGTTTTAGGGTGGGGCTGTAAGTCCTTTAGAGGAGGGCTAGTAGTCCTTTAGGGTGGAGCTATCAGTGTTTTAGGGTGGGGCTGTAAGTCCTTTAGAGGAGGGCTAGTAGTCCTTTAGGGTGGGGCTATCATTCCTTTAGGGTGGTGCTATCAGTTCCTTATGGCGAGGCTTTACGTTCTTTAGGGTGGGGCTATCAGTCCTTTAGGGTGTGGCTATCAGTCCTTTAGGGCGGGGCTATCAGTTCTTTAAGGGACAAAGCTTTCGATCCTTTAGGTCGCGGTTATCAGTTCTTTAGGGCCAGGAATTCAGTTCTTTAGGGTGGGAATATGAGTTCTTTAGGGTGGAGCTGTCAGTCATTTAGGGTGGAGCTATCAGTCCTTTAGGGTGGTGCTATTTGTTCTTTAAGGTGAGTCTATCAATCCTTAATCCTTTAGTGCAGGGCTATCAGTTCTATAACGTGGAGCTATCAGTCATCTGGGCAGTCATTTATTAGCAGGTATTGTATCATAATTTACAACTCTGAAAACAGAACTCTTCTCAACATCTGAATTGTTGGAGGAAAGATCATAGTCCCAAAATGCAATTCAACAGCATGAATAAAAAATGAATCAAAAAATAGTGAAAACTGTTAATTGACTGATATATTTGTGTACAGTGTGTGAAAATAAAGCAGCATTTGTCAGCCTAATAATCTCTCTCTGCTGTAATACAGTGGGCGCTTGGTAAATCCAACAGCAGCACTGATTCATCATATCACCAAATACAGCTTATTCCTGGAAGATGTTTGGCAGCTGATCAGGATGACGGAGAGGATCAGATTATCAGTAATATTGTGTTCTTTCTGGAAATAAGAGAGTTTCTGCTGCTCTTTAATAAATCAGCATCTCAGTGTCTGATAATCCTCCTCATCACGTCTCCTGCTGCTCTTCATCCTCTCTTCATGACAGCAATAATCATAAAAACATGAAGAATTGAGGCTTTCACCTGTGCGTCCTCCAGAGCTGAAACACACACACCTGCTTTATAAAGCTGAAACACACACACACACACACCTGCTTTATAAAGCTGAAACACACACACACCTGCTTTAATGCACAGCTCTGCAGTTTGCTGACTGTACACGTGTGTGTTCAGACTGGATGTTGTGAATGTAATAGTGAATATTATTGTTTGGTGTTGTGAAGTCAGTTATTCTGAGAGGAATATTTCAGCTTCACTTACACAGAGTCCTCCCATTCTCACATGTCATATTTCCTATTTAATTTCAACTCATAGTTAATTTATCTATGTGTGTGCACGTTACTCTGTGTGTGTGTGTGTGTGTGTGTGTGTGTGTGTGTTTGTGTTACACTGCGTGTGTGCAACTCTGTGTGTTTGAGTATTTACACTCTGTGAGTGTGTGTGTGTGTGTGTGTGTGTGTGCGTACATTGTGTGTTTGCATACGACAAATGCTACAACGACTTAATAACTCTG